AGAATCTCATCAAATCCCCACCACTTAATACCCATTTTATCATTTATATTAGGATGACTAGGGTACTCAAATTGAAATCTGTTTGATTATTATTTAGCCATTAAACATGTATCAACTTCTCTGATTCTTGGGTATAAGCTTCTTGAGAATTGAAAGGAAATTAAAAAAAATAGATTACTTACCCCTTCATCACTTGGTGTAGTAGTACTTGCATATAATAGGGGTTTATTAAATTTGCTCAAATTAAATAGAATCTAAGTTGGTACAGATATGCCTTCATTGAGTAGGGATATCTAGTTCCAGAAAAGTAGAAGTTGTTTTTAAAGGTAAGAAACACCAATTATTTTTAATGTTCCTTAGAATATTTGGGAAGAGATGGGAACCTAATAATTATAAATATAGACAGTTTTGGTTGGCAGATGTTTATTACCAGTTTAATAGAATGATAAATGTTTCCCAAAGTCTGTATTAATATGAAACAAAATAAAACACAAAATATTAATAGAAAAATTCGAATATAGTACAAGATAAAAATGCAATTAAATGTAAAATTTTGGGCTGCAATAGATCAATGTTATTAAATATTTCCTTTGTAGAATTTAAAACGTGGGGGCCGGGGATATGGCTCAGTTGTTCTGCTGCCTGCCTCACAAGTGCAAGGTCCTGAGTTCAATCCCTAGTACCACAAAAAAAAAAAAAAAAAAAAGGAATTTAAAACTTATGTGTCAATTATAAAAAATATGGTATCACTGTCTTACCATTTTATCTAACCTCTAATATATTTATAGTTTAGTTAAAAATTGTTCACATTGTCATATTACAAAAAACATTTTGCTCCAATGAACTGACTTCTTCCTTCATAACTTGCATGATTAAGAATTAATCTACTAAACATTGAATGGGAACAGTCAATAAAGTAGAAATTTTTGGTCCATTAGGTACAAAGTTAACTTGCAAGACTCTGGGGAAACTATATTTCTATAATGTTTTCAGTGGATTATTTGATAAGAAAAGTTCTCAGTAAGGTTGTACTGTGTAAGTGCTAATAAGCTTTGGAAGCTGTACAGCGCTGACTGTCAAAGCTATGTGTATTAATGAGGCTTTGTTCTCCCAAGAGGAAAACAGGGTGTTACAGGTTAAACAATGATGAGCAAAACACAGGCAATGCCAGTTTGATAGAAACTCTTCAATTTAGAGAAGTGACCTTTAAAAGGGAATGCATAAGGAGCCTCAATGTAGTCAGTTGATATATTTTGGGCTTGTAGTTGAGATAGCAATAAAGGATGTTTATTGACTGACTTGATTTTTAAAAACTGTGCCCCTTGAGTAATCACTTCAGTGCAGAATTAAAGTAAAAAGGACAGCAATGACAATAAAATATGAATAATTAAAATAATCATAGAATGAAATACTGGTTTGAAAAAGTCATGCTTTTAGTGCCATACTATTGTGGAAAGTGAGGTCTTTGTATTTCACTTCCAAATCACACAGAGCAAGTAGAAAACACCGATGTTTATGATTGTTGGTGTGGAAGAGAGAATTCCTTAGGACTGGTAAACTAACATATTTCAATCTTAAGTAACCCTTTGTTCCTCATTGACCCAAGGCTCTTGTTATTCAGAATCATACCAAGAGTATTCAAATCACACATTTTCTTCTATAATATAACAAAGCCATCCCTTCTATCATTCAGGCAGAGCAGTTAGTACCTAAAAGAAAAGAAAAAGGATGTGTTACCTGGGAGACCCTGCCAGACAGAAAGGTGAGCAGCCTGCTCCTTCTGGTCCATGAATGTGTGGGAAAGAGGTAGTCAGACATAGGTTTCAGACCTCTCTTCTCTAGGATGATAAAGTTGTGTCTTTACCCAGTTGTGTCTGGAAGGGGTCTTGTTGGGAAAATGACCAAAGCAGTTTGCTGCCCTCTCAATGTGAGTCAGCTCTAGTTTACATAAGGAATCTACACAGCAAGCAAGATCTGATTGGAAGGTGAGTCAGTGAACTCACGTGGGAGGGGTGAGGTCGCAGTAGGCCACAGATGGGCGAAGGTAACACTTTGTAGCTTCAGATGACACAACTGTGATTCTCAAACTATTTGCCCTCCTTTAGGATTATATCAGCTGTCTCAAGAGACCAGCACCAGGATGACTGGCTGCGCAGAAGGGTAATCTTGGAATTCTAAAGATTAGAATTTAGATAGATCGCGGAGGTTTGGCAAGGAGGCAAAATTTGAGTTGATTGAATATGTTAAATGAACTTTATAAAAAAGTTACATTTTTGTTTTGCACATTTCAGGTGTAGTGTAAATGAGAAAATTGCTAGGGAATTTATTTTCCTCCCTGTTCCCTCTTCTAGGAACACTCTTGTCTGAGCTAGCATTGTTTTTCACTAAGCAAATTGTTATAAGGAGAAATTCCACGTGTTTCACTGACTGTATCTGATTACTTACAGTCTCCTGTGATCAAAGATTCCATTCACTTCTGTAAGTATTGAGGAGTTGTCTGACCTCCCAGACAAGGGCAACTGTTTTACTAGGGCACCATTCTTGCCCCTTACAACAGTTCTTACCTCTTATACAGCTACTGATTACTCACTTCCCTGCTACTGAATATTCTGTCATGAAGTGCCCATGATGTTATCTCCTCCAATTGAAAACAACAATTTCTTTTTAACACAGTTCTTTCCTTTGGTCCTCTATCTCTGCTGTCTTTTTTTTTTTTTTTTTTTTTTTTTTTTTTAAGGGTCTCACTATGTAGTTGAGACCTAGAACTCACTATGTACTCCAGGCTGGTCTTGAACTCACAGTGATCCTCCTGCCTCAGCCTTCTGAGTGCTGGGAATATAGGCGTATGCCACCACGCCCAGCTATGAGAAGCTTTTTAAAACTGCATCTTTCCTGGTTCTACTGTAAGACACGGATTCAGGAGCAATAGGTTTAGGCAACACGCTGACAGTCTAAGCTTTGTATGTGCCTCTTTGGTGACCCTCATGCAGATGGTTCATTTTTCCTCTTCTGTGGAAAGCTGCCCCAGCAATTGTCCTGGTCACAGCAAGTCACATAGAAAAAAACTGAAAGGAATACCAAGAAAATTTCATCTTCTGTTAGAAATGAAAGACTTTAGTGGGCCAGATAATGTTATTCTTGTTTTTGTTGAAGAATTTTTTTCATAAGAGAAAATCAAATAGCTGGAGACATGGCCATGTTAGAAATCTGGACTTCACTTCCACTGTCATCGTTTATGAAATCCAAGTGGTGGAGTCCTACGAAATGACTAACTTTATTTTGCAATAAAAATACTCAAAGAATGTATTTAATTGCAAATTAGTGCCGGGTCAAAGTGAGTTTTGAGATGGAGAGGGAGATTTCCTGAGGGACTTAAACTGGACATGCTGTGCCTTAAGAGAAAATGAAGCTACACGGTAAAGGATGATTGTGAAATAAAACATTAGGCTTTTCTTTTGCTTGAACCATTTATAGCAAACATAGTATATTTGTAAGTAAAGTATCAAAACAAATAGATAATTAAGAAGTAGGCACAGGCTTTTTCATGTGTCTGCAGCCATTTAAAGAAGTTCATTGGATTTAGTGCATAACCAATGTAAGTTTTATTATATAAATAAAATATTTTGATATGAATATTTTAAAATAATGATGAAGTATTTATAACTGTTTTACTGAAAACTGTATTATTTACTTGATGTTATACTGCTTTTGGGGCATTTTATCTTTTTTTCTGTTTTTTGACTCTAATTAATATATGTTTTCAGTGAGTCAACTTAACTCACCTTTGATCCCAAGGGAAAGATAAATAATGATTGTAAAATTTCTTCCTGAGTTGAGTTCAGGAATCCGATTTTTAAGACTAAAAGTCAAAGTAACACTATATAAACAATCTTGGGCCGGGGATTTAGCTCAGCAGTTCTGCCGCCTGCCTTGCAAGCGCAAGGACCTGAGTTTGATCCCTGGTACCAAAAAAACAACAAAAAAAAATCTTATTAGCCTTTGAAAACAAACTTTTTATTTTGTAATAATTTTAGTTTCACACAAAAGTTATAAGCATAGTATAGAATTTTTTCTTTTTCTGGACAAATAATTAGATAGAAGATACATTTGAGGGCTGGGGATTTAGCTCAGTGGTTCCACCGCCTGCCTCCCAAGCAAGCACAAGGACCCAAGTTCGATCCCTGGTACAAAAAAAAAAAAAAAAAAAAAAAAAGAAAAGATACATTTGATGTTTTGTTATATGTATAAATTGTCAAATTATTAATTTTACATTTCTTACCCAGTTTCACCTCAAGTTAGCAACTTATATTACAATAGTACATATTCTATAACTAAGTATTGGTGCATTATTATTAAGTGCTCCAGACTTTATTTAGATATCCCACAAATGTCTTGTTTTTCCACTAGAGTCTTTTTCTCTCTCAGAATTCCAATCCAGAATCCACACAGCACTTAGTTCATTGCCTTTGTCCACACATAACGGGGTTGCACAGGCTGTATGGTGTGCGACTTTGGCGGTGCTGTTATACCATTGTGCCAGGCACCGTTCATAGAGCTTATGTCTATTAACCTGTGCAATCATCGCAACCATCCTAGGGGTAGGTGGTGAAGTGTCTCCTGTTTTAGACTCCAGCACTGAGGAAAAAGAGAAGTAACCTCACAAAATTAAATCACATGGCTATTGAGTGGAAAAACCGAGATTCTAGTTACAGAGCCTGTGCTCTTAGAAACATTTCAAATCTGGAGGCTTCCTACCTCCTACATCATTCAACCAGCTGTGAAAAATACATCCGTCAGATTTCCTTTCTTCCTTTCTTCATTTCTTTCTTCTTTACTTTTGCGTGTACTCCCCCTCCCCCTTTTTCTTTTTTTCCGACAGGGTCTCCCTATGTAGCCCATGCTGGCCTCTAACTCATGATCCTCCTGGTTTAGCTTTCCTAGTACTGGGATTGTGGGCATGCACCACCTTGCCTGGCGGATAGACAGCTGGTTGATCTTAAGCAAGTCACTCGATCTCTCTGGACCATTACTGGCTCATCCCTGAAGTCACAGAAGTGGATTATGTAATCTAAAAGCTTCCTATTTTAAAATGCATGGTGGCATTTACCTGCAGTTTCAGTTACTCAGGACGCTGAAGCAGGAGGATCACTTGAGCCCAAGAGTTTTAGGTCAGATTGTGCAAACACAGCAAGGCCCTATATCAAAATCAAAAACCAAAAATAATAGTGACAGCAACAAAACCCCAACACTAAGAAATTGAAATGTGCATCTTTAAATTTGATTTCTAGTTCAGAGACCTAGCCTGCTTCTTCTGTTTTCTTGCCTATCAACTTTTTAAAAATAAAATGTTCATTTAAGTGAGAATATTGTATACTAAAATTCCAATTTTACTTTCAAGGAGAATCTATATTTTATATTGATTTTTTTCCTCCTGCAGGTTGTTAGCTTGTTGCTTTTGAATTTTCTATTATACTTTTGAATACTCCTGAATTCTACCCTTTTTATTCCAATAAAATTAAGCTAAATGTATGTCACTTCACATGTAGGAATGAACAAGCAAATAAACAATATAGCTACATATTTCAGTAGATTAAACTGAGCTGAAATTATCCCTCATGCTGGCACTATAATAGGCTATTGATCTCAGATTGCATTTTCTGTTTCTTTACAACTGAATTTTGTTCCCAAATAAAAGAGTGTGATCATTTTCAGGGTGCATTTAGTGAAATAAAAACAGCACTTGGGATCCATTTTATTGCATGCTCGATGGAAGACTAAGCCTTTCATAAAATTAACTATGGAATGCTATGACTATAAAAAAAAGGAAGTGTAACACCTTCTTAGAAGATTTTTCCCCAAAGTGTTTAATTTTAGATTTTAACTATTATAAAAATTCTGTATGATTATATTCACTCTTCAGAATATATACAAAACTACAGAAAATTTCCCTGTGAATGACAACTACTAGAAGATAAGCTGTAGTTATATAAACTAACCCGTCTAGTAACTAAAAGAAATTAAGATTAAATGAGACAGTGGTATTTAAAATTAAATTGAAAGATCTTTAAATAGAAAATAGTTTGCCAAAACTAGAGGTGATTTTCCTTCTTATGCTAGATCTTCCTTTGATTCTTTCCATTGCAACAAGATAGACAATTTTAATATACTGAGAGAAAAATCACTCCAAGGCTCTTGCCTGCCCTTTATTCCCTAGCAAATGTAATATTCCCAATAACAGATGTTAATCACACTCCTCTCAGCCTTCTACCTGAAGGTGACAGTCTGTATCTGTCCTGAAGGTCCCAAATCTCTAGTTACTCACTGGTGATTGGGCCCAGATAAGAGAGTGTGATTTTCGTCCAACAGCCTCCGTGAGGTACAGGGTTACTACTGCAACCAAGCAGAGCACTTCTGTTCCTTCTTACTACTTGCCCGTGATAGAGGTGAGGAGAGAGCAAAGTGCCCTCAGAAAAATTTAGTTACAGCGCATTGATTCAGGACTCACTTTTCAGGCCCCAGGGAAACTTCTCAAGGTCTCTTTCCTGAACTCATTGAAATAAGATGCAACTGCATTTCTAGGCTGTGAAGGTGGTGTGTTGTGGTAGTGGCCACACTGGAGAAGGACACAACTTCAAAGCATGGGAGAATGTGAGCAGAGGAGACACCTAAGTGATAGAAAAGACAAAATAACTTGCCAGCACTTCCTACCAGCCTGAATGCAGTAGACCCCTCAGTGCCTCAGGTCATTTTCTTGAATTACTTTGTGTCCCATGTGTGGTCTTAAAAGTGCTCATGGGCTAGTAATATATTCTTGATGGTTTTACATGGTTGATAATGGATATTTTGCAATGTTAAATAGTTCATTTTATTCTTAATTTTGTATGTATGTATGTATGTATGTATGTATGTATGTATGTATGTATGTATGTTTAGGTGCGGTATCCATTAAGTGTGGTAGCACATTGATAACTAGCTGGAATGTTTTTGGGTTATGAATGGTTTCATTTTCCTAAAGTATTTAATGATATTAAATTTTCAAAAAACTAAACATTCACTTTAAATAATTATTTTAAGTGGATACCATTAATACTTGTACCTTTTAAGTTTTAGACATAGTTTTGAATATTTTAAGAGAAATAAATTACAGTCATATCTCAGTGACAGCGATATATTCTTAAAAATGTGTCATTAGGTAATTTTGCCACTGTGAGAACATCACTGTATTCAGACAGTCCAGTGTGGTGTAACTTGATGTGCCTCTTGCTGTAATCAAGGGACATGGTAAACATGAGACGTATGAAGCTGCTGCTGATTTAATGTGGCCTATTATTTTACTACAAAAGCTTTTATAGGCAGAAGTGCACTCTGACATAATGGTAGAGTGTATGGTACAGAAAAGGCATAAACCAGTGACAAAGCTGTTCATTATCACCATGAAATTTGATGGATTGTACAACATTGGTATGTGTCTTAGCTTTATATGAGCAGCAGTGGCATGGTAGGCCTCTTTACACCAGTATCAAACATGAGAGTAGTTTTGCACAGTGGTATAAGAAGGGGGGCTGTATCATCACTAGGGTATTAAAACACTTCAGCTTCATTGTGATTTTATGAGACCGCCATTGTATATACAGTCTGTTCTTGACTGAAACTGTGTTACGTGGTACATGCCTGCATTTTAAAACATAAGAGTTCCTTTCTTAGCATTTATTTTAATTCACAATTTTAGTGCAAGTGGAATGGTAATAAAAGATGAAGAGAGAGTGTGGGGAAAGAAGAGAAAGGGAAAGTAAAAAGAATTAAGAGGTGTTATGTACATGTGCCAACTCTCCACGAGTGTAATCATTATGTACTGCAAACGTACTAATAAAAATTTAAATTAAAAAAATTAGTGAAGATATATCTATAACTGAATACTTTGAAAACAATTATGTTTACATTTTGTTTTTCTTAAATCATTGGGGTTTAGTACAAGTTAAAAAAGGTGATAAAATAGATTGAATGAAAACAGAATTATGGTGTCTTACTTAATGAACATTTTCCTTAAAAGTGAGCCGTAGGAAACATGACCCAGTTTAGCTGTTCCAAACTCCTGACCCACAGGAACCAGGCAGTAATAAAGTTGTTGTTTTAAGCTTCTATGCTTTGGAGGAATTTTGGTTATGTAGGAATATATAACTAACATAATCTTCTTTATTCTAATAGCAACTACATGAGGACTTTAAAAAATATTGTCTTTAATTGCACTGTTGTGGCTGCCTTGATGCCTAAGTCAGTTGAAAACATTTATCTTTCATGGCAATTTTGACTTTGAGAAAGAGCCAGAAATCCCATAGTGCCAAAACCAGTGAATAAGGTAGATGTGGATGCACTATAATGCTTTTATAAGCCTGTCATTCTGTTGGGTGACAGTGGCAGCATTCACTGTATTTTGGATCACACTTTGTGAAGACACTCACAAAAGAGCACTTCCAGAACTGCTTCAGAAAGGGCAAGAATTGTGTTTGAAGCAAGGGAAGTATTTTGAAGGAGATTAATGGCAATGTACCTTTACTATAATACATTAAAAATATATAAAATATTCATGATATATTGATCAGACCTTATGTATTTGTGGACCGATTTCCTCTTGTCTGGAATCTTGCTTTTAAAGTTCATATCTCAACTTTCTCAACCTAAGGTACTGAGTTTTAAAGGTTTGCACAATCACTTTGAGGCCTTAGAATAATACAAACTGAGGCTGAAGAATATTTTCAGATACCATGAGCATGGCCTTCATCATCCATTCAACTCATTTAACAAAGATTTTCTTGCATGATTCTTAGATGCAAGGTATTTTGTTTGGTCCTGGGCATATAAGCCACAGTGCAAAGAAAGTGATAGGAAGAAAAAACACAGAAATGTAGTTAAAGAGGGAGTGGTGACTAGCTTATATTTAGCCATGCCATGTGAAAGATGATTTGGGGATATCTAAGTAGAGATAAATAGGTCTGGAGTTTAGGAGAGAGGTTTGTGCAATAGGTAGATTTGGGTGGGCATTGTCATAGGGAATGAATGAGTGATCTCAGGAAGGAATATATCCAATGGAAAGAGGAGGCTAAGGCTTGAATTTTATTACGTAGTAGAGGGAGAGGATTTGGTAACAGAGGCTGTTCACAAACTTTCCTGTCTTTTTCTTTCTGGACATAGGGTAGGATTTCATTTCTCTGGTCCCTGCAAAGTTGTGCCTGTACTATTTGCTTTGGGAAATGAACCATGATTTGTGATGTGCATTGTATCTTGGCAGATTTGCACGTTTGTTTAGTACTGAGAATTGAACTCTGAGCTACCTCCACAGTCTTCACACTGAGCTACCTCCACAGCCCTTTTAATTTCAAGATGGGGTCTCACCCAGTTGCTGAGGTGGGGCTCAAATTTGTGAACTTCCTGCCTCATCCTTCAAGTACTGGGGTTACAGATGTGTACCACAACACCTAGCTTTGGTAGGAGCTTTAAGAGGCAAAACATGAGTCAGCTGCGTCCCTTCTTTTGGTGATTAAGAAATGTTAGGAAGGAGACTCTCAATCTATTTCCCTTTGTGACTATCAACATTGAAGTCCCTCCAACCTGTCTGTCCTGGATTTGCACTGAATGGAGCACACACTTGCGCTGGGTTATGCCAGTGTGTTATTTGTTATCACACTGTATCCTAGGCTATCCTGATGACTCTGGGAGAGCCTTAGGAAGAGGAGAATTTCAAGGAGATTAGAAGAGAATGGTGCGAAAAAGTCAGGAACATGAAGATGTCAAATACTTCATTGGTAAGATATAGAAGAGTAAATGTTCACTTCATTTAGCATTTGAAGGACATTTGTGGTTTCAGCAAATTATGCACTGTGAAAAATAAGCAGTTCCTTTCATCTGATTAACAGAGGAAAGGGGAAAAATATGTTTGTGTATAGACTGGCTGGTGGGGTGCTTGCTGTTGCCATCTTCTTGGCTCTCTTTTGTGTCCCAAACTTCAGCAATCTGGCTTTTCATTCTACTTGTGTCTCCTCTCCCATCTGCCTGCTCACTGGGAGCCCAAGAAGCTCCTTACTTCGTTCCTTTCTTCTTGTCTCTGTGGCCTTTTAGATTCCAGCACTCTTTCTGCATGCAGCATACAATTGCCATTTGCACTTCCTTACCTCTTACGCACTCCCACACTACTGTAAATTGACTTTTGACCTCATTAAACTATTGGAGTGGTTCGTGCCAAGAATACTTTTTGTAAGAAGCACATATAATTAGTTTTTTAAAATGTTCCCCATAAATCTCTTTAATTTTATGTTATGACACAGTGCATAATTATTTGCTGAGTTGCTCATTTTGTATTAGCTAAAGAGAAAATTGAACCTGTCAGTCAGACTGTGTGGAATAAGAAATGCAGTGATTTTTTTTATTAGCAGTGAATAGAAACTTACATAATACAAATATTTTCATGTCACTTGAAGTATTACCATTGGTTGCAAGTTTTGAAGGTATGCAAGGTGCTTTCTTTTGCTTTTTCTTTTAGTAGGTATTTTGACTGCAGGCAGCTTGTCTTTCATTTTTCTTTTGGCCCGCAGTTCCAATTCTTGAGCACAGATTTAATGAAGCCTTGTTCAACTTGCAACTTCCCTGTAGTATTACAATAATATTACGATTTTTTCATAGACATTTCCTCATTTAATCCTCAGATAACTTTTGAAGGGTATTTAATTTTCCTCCTATTTGCAGATGAAGAAACTGAAACTCAGAGAGGCAGATAAATTGCCATGTTCACTTGGCAACATGTAAGTGTGTGTATGCCGCATTTTCTGGGTTTTTTCCAGACTTCAAGTTTAGAGCTATTTTTCCTATGTGCCAGCCACCTCAGCACCACACATGTACACAAATGACAACATAGAAGAAATTTATTTTCCTAGTGGACTTTTTGTTCAAACCTTATAAGACCATACATTTCCAAAAATTTGAAGCCATTTGATGCTTTTTCAAAATGTTATACATTAAGTTTTTGTATTAACTGAGTGTAGGTTAAGAATAAGAAGCTGTTACACATTTTACAAAGATTCTTTCTCATCACTCTGCCCTGAAAAGACATGATTGCTTTGCTTTGCTTTTAACATAAACATCAGTATTAGTAACTTTTCTCAATGAGAAGCAGTCAAAAGGGTTTAAATTAGTGACCAAAGTAATTAGATATGATTATATGTGTACATGTATTATATATATATATAGTACCAAGGATTGAACTCAGTACCTTGCACTTGAGAGGCAGGTGGCAGAACCACTGAGCTAAATTCCTGGTCCACCTATAATATATTCTTAAATATAGTCTTAAAATCTTAACACACACACACACACACACACACATTCTTTTATATAGCCTTAAAATATTCTAAACAAAATTTCATGGACATCCTTGATTCATCAGTGGATCTGTGAAACACTACTGTTTCTGTAATACTGAAACATATAGTAAACAAAAATCTAGTCTTTCTAGATATCTTTTAAGTTGAAAGCAATGGCTTTGCCTTTCATAGTTAAATTTATACTAATCTTTCTCAAAGACAGCCTCCTTGAGAAGATGTACAAACTAGTGGAAATAGTGAAAACTTAAGAGGGAGACAATTAACTGGCTGACTCACCAAGAAAGTGAATCATGGAGTTTGGTTCTAGAAGGCAACTGAAACAAGCAAGTGCTTAATGGAATAGTGCCATGTGTATTTAGATTTGAGAGATAGATAGGTAGATGGATGGGTAGATAGATGGGTAGATGGCATGGAGTTAACACATGATCAAAAGCCTGGAGCTGCAGGAGTGGTAAAGTGAGGCCCTTGGTTGACTGGAGGTTGCTGCTGGGGTTGGAATAAATTTGCAATGCAACAAAGACTATCAAAGGTTCTTGAGTGAACTGGCCTGGTCCCGGGCTTTAGGCAGAGTCCTACAACTTTAACAAATGATGGCTGTGGAAGTTACCAGACTCCAGGAGATTAGCTGTACTACTGTTTTACAGAATTTTGGATTTCATAAATCACTAAGGTTTCCAAAAAAGTTCCTGAGGACTAAAATGCCACTGTCAACTGTTTGTTGTGTTAAGGAAGAATATTTTAAAAAATGCTTAACAAAAAATAAAGAGTAAATTATCATGTATTATTTATTCATAATGGAATGGAATTTTAACATCAAATTCATAGAATGACATATTTCTAGAGTGAAGGACAGAATGTTAAGGTGAATAAACTTGATGTTATTAAAACATTGTAGCATTATCTTTATTTTCTCATTTTGTTCTGTACCTGTAAAACTCTGTGATATATCCACACAGACTCTCAGATTGATAGCTATGATCTACTGACCTACGAGATTCTTCTAATTATACATGATGAAAATCTGGGGTAGGAGAAGAAAGAATAAGAAGAGAGATGATGCTGGAGGAGAACTAACAATTGGTGATAAACTAAATATAGAAGATGAAGAGAAGGCATGAATGATGCCTACAAAAATGACATTGTGACCTGGTATAGTTTTTGTCATCAGCATTGCACAGAACACTTCCCTGATTCATCTCTTTATTAGAGACTGTGGAAGTCTTGTGAACACACTGATGTGTTGCTGTCTTCTTACCAGGACTGGAAACCAGAAATACAATTTCCCAAACATGCAAAGATGATGTTTTTCTTAGTGATTGATGAGTTAAAATATTTCTTCACCCAAAGCCAAAGTGATCTTGAGTGAGATTTTAAAGGAGGTAAGAAAGGTCTCTTTTTTACAAACCACCATCACGTGGTCACATCAAGGTTTCATAGACTATTTTTTCCCCAAAACAGTTCTTAAAATTTATTACTAATATTTTATTTTTGAATATTGACAATTGATGTTTATCAGTTGCCAAGATTTTACTGTTGTGCTTATAGAGTTTCTGATTTAAAAAAATCTTACTCATTAAAATGCTGTAATAGAGGTACAAAAGCTCTTATGTGAGCAAAATGATCAAATACTCTTTGTGACTGGAAATTATATCTCAAGGTTATATAACATCAAAAGAATACTTTGCTTAGGAAAGACAGTTATTTTTCTTTCAGAGTAGAATATTTATTCAAAATTAATTAATGCAAATGTGTTCTTTGCAGAATATTAATCTATAGCATCAATTTAAGATGTTCTTAGTATATATTTCCAGTCTTTTAAATGTCAAACTCTAGAAAGGATAAACTGGCTCACCCCTCTACTAGGTAATAGCTAGTATTGTCTTTGCTGCAGGGTATTTAAAATGGAATTTTGAAGAATATTGAAAAAAAGTTACCAGTTCACTTACTATATAATAGCTTAGAAAGTGAATGTCTGAAAGAAGAAACATTCAATAAATGACTGTGGAGTTTTTGGTGGAATTCACAACATAATAGCAAGACAAGGTTTTTCAGCTTTGATCATAAAGAGAATGAGTCATCTAATGTTACCTTTTATTCTGGTATACAGTTTTAGTACCTTCTCAGAAGTCTGCATGCATTTAAATCATTGGAACAATTATTAAAAGCAAGTTACAAGAAATAAATGGCATTTATGTATAAAGGAGAATGTGCTCAAACTGCTAGTGCTTTAAAATTTCCATGAGAGCAAATTCAAGCACAGAACACAGTTTAGGTTTTAGTAACAGAATTTTCAATCCCTTAATCTTTTGTAATATCTATATTTATCATGTAACCATTTTAAAAGAAAATGTATAAAAATGTTAATGTTGATTTCTACCAGCACTTCTGACAGAAAAATTAATCCTATATGGTAAATAATTATATCTCCAAATAGCTATCTGATATATACAAATTTAGGTATTGGAATGTAATCATATACTTTCTACTGCTCTTGCAACGTTGGAAGGGCAGTGTGACTCATACCTGAAAATACTCCTTTTTTTCAAATGATGTTTCAAAACACAAGGATGCCCTTTCCATTTCCCTCATGTCTCAGACTTTTACTCCTCATCTTGAAGGGGATTACTATATTTTCTAACTTGATTCTAGCCTTGAAAACAAGCTGTATCTATAGACTTCATTATATTATTAACTATAAAATAAATTTCAAGCTATCTGTACTATTTTACTTAGAGTTATATTATTAAGAGTAAATATCTTATTAAACTCAAGGAACTGTGAAATGAATAAACATAATTTCTGAAGACAGTAAAGGTATAATAACTAATAAAAATGAAAGTTATTGAAGTAGAACAGCTAAATCATATAAATCAAAATTTATATAGAAAAGATGTAAATATTAACTTGTTTCCTAGATTGTCATGAAGAATTGCTCATTATTTGATTACAACATAAAAACATGGGGTATATTTGACATTTTACTTAAATTTATTTATATAAAGTTTATATTCTGATGCAATTAATTTAGGATATTTTTGGGGGGTACTGGGGTTCCAACTCAGGACCTTGATTATTTAGGATTCTTTAGAGATACCAAATCAATAGGGAAATGTTTATATTGAAAGGCTGAAGCAGCTGGAGTCTGAATTGTATCGGTCACTTTCCTTTCCTTGGGACAGAATATTTGTCATCCATGAGTTAAAGGAGAAGAGGTTTATTTTGGCTCACAGTTCCCATGGATTCAGCCCATGGTTGGCTAGCTCCAGGGAGGAAACAGCATGGTGGAACAACACGGTGGAGGAAAGCTGTTCACGTGATGGCAGGGAAGTGGAGAACAAGGCGATGAGCTAAGACAAGAACATATCCTTCCAAGTCATGCCCTCAGTGACCTGCCCACTCCTACTGGGCCCCACCTCCAAATGTGAAACCTTTGGGGAGAGTTCAGATCTAAAATATGGGAGGTCCACAGGTTATGGCAGCAGCACTAGGGATGCACTCAAGCCGAATCAAACTTCCCAGAAAAAGTTGGCTTTTTTCTTCTTCCTTTTTTTTTTATCCTATCTGGAACACTATAGCCCACAATCAGGGCAAGTCTTTTTCCCTCAGTTTGCTGGCCTACATGCCATTCTTCTCTGGAAACACCCCAAAGTGTGCTTTATCAATCTCTGCGGTGTTTCTTAATCCATTCTGATTGAGAATCAAGATCGACGGCCACAGCCAGAAACAATTTTTGAGATAGTCTTCTAAGTGCTTATATCTACTAGCTTAATTCTCATAACACAATGAAGTGAAAACCATTCTTTTCACTGCTTTGTGGAAGAGGAAACTCAGGAAAGTACAGGTTACAACTCTAAATGGACAAATACTTCCTAATAATTCTGTGGCTTTGGGTGTGAGTCCTTATCTCCTGTAGTCCTACTTCCACTGAATGATATAATTTCATCATTTTCTTGTATTGTTCTTAGCTCTTTTGTTTTGGATCTCTCCATTTATACCTGAATGACTACATATATCATACTATCTTTGTTTAGTGACCCTCAGGCACCACTCTGAAGTGTTGGGCTAATTTGTAATACAATTTCAGCATCTATTTTTTTTAACCTATTGATTTAGTTCTGGATTAAAAAATATTTAATGTACAATGGCAATTGTTCATGAACAGCTGCAGGAAACACTATTTGTGTTCCTTTGTTAGCACTTACAGGACCACTTTCCAATCTTCTAAATGGTTCCCTGGCATCTACTCTCATTCCTTCTATTTTGTTCTCTATTATACAGCAGCCAGAACTCCTATTTTAGAATGTAAATTGGAACATGTCTCTTTTCCAGAATCCTTTAAAGCTCTCCACTGGATTTAGGATAAAAATCCCAGGTCCTACTTTGGCGCGAGCCGCGACGTCAGGATCCTGCCAGCAGGTCCTAAACCTGAAAGGATGAGGACAGAGAGACGGGAGGCACTTTTCTTCTCATGGTCCTTCTTTATTACCGAACCTCTCCTTTTATACTCTCCAGCTGCGCGGCTGTTAGAGAGTGCCGCCCACACATTCCGGAAGGAAACCGTTAAACCGTTACATTTGCACCAGTAAACCGTTCAACAGATCAGACCACCAGTTGAACTAGCCCGTTGCTATGGGCGACGGCACGTCCACACTGCTCGGGTGAATCACAGGTCAATATGGCTGTGCTCTCCATACTACTTAATTCTTCAAAACCAAAAAATAAACTCATTCCTGCTTACTTCATTGGCTTCCTCTTGTGTCTGCCTCTTTTCTTGTTCCTCTTTATAATACCTCTTTAGTCCTTTTCATGTTTAACTCCTTAGTTCCTTTACAGACTTCATCTCAGCTCTATGGAGACACCATCCTCATGCTCTTGGCTGAAGTACTTCTCTCTGCTCTCCTTTTGGGGTACTTTTCCTTCATGATTCTCACCCTAGTTCATGATTCTGTATTTACAGATTTGTTTACTTCTTAAATATCTTCAAAACTGTAAGTTCAGGGAGAGCTGTGACCCTGTACTTTTGTTCACCAGAGTATTTCTATCACTTAGCATAGTTGCATGTACATATTGAATTCTCAATAAATATTAAAATATGGAATATGAAAATATATTTTAATATGTTTCAGTGATGGCGGTTGAGACATGAACTTACAAAGAATTCTATAGAGTCCATATGAGAGGTGATTTTGAGATAGAGAATGAAAAATCTTTAAAATGATGAAGGCAGAGCCATGTCCTTTAAGAGACTAAACTTTATTTTTTGCCGAGTTATATTTGTTTATGTATTTATTGTTTGTTTGTTTTTTTTGAGACAGGGTCTCACTATGTAGTTGAGACCGACCTGGAACTCACTGTGTAGCCCAGGCTGGTCTCAAACTCACAGTGATCCTCCTGCCTCATCCTCCCAAGTGCTGGGATTACAGGTGTGTGCCACCATGCCCGGCTTATCCAATTATATTTATGCACAAATTCTTTTGGGAAGGAAACAAAGTGAAAAGAAAATCATCATAGGAGACAAATGATTTCTGTTTATGCAAAAACCAATAGTGATAATGGAGGGAATAAGAATATATCAACCCCAAATTTGCCACTATGGTATAAAGATTATTATTATTTTTTTGTACTGGGGATTGAACTCAGGACCTTGTGCTTGTGAGGCAGGTGTGGCGTCACTGAGCTAAATCCCCGGCTCCTATAAGGATTGTTTTTAAGAGGAAGGCAATTAAGAAACAGCAATTAAAGAAAAAGCTCTTTGTTTCCTCCTTTCTGTCTACTTCTCCCTCATTAGGAAAAGGAAAACAACTATTTTCACTGGTGATGGGAAATTCTGCCTGAAATGAGTCTACACAAACCCTGCTAAAATAACACCCTCCTTTGGTTCCCTCATACTAACCTTCTCATAGTCTGCTCAATCTAGAGGCCCAAGCCCTTTTTCCTTTGTTATGTCACTTGTCTATAAATGTGTTGCCCTTTATTAAAATGGTTTATAACCTCTGGTGTATAACTACCTCTTTGGGTTTTTTTTTTATTTTCAGTGACGGCTTATGTGTATGTTAAAATTAAACTTCATATTAAATAAAATTGCCCTTTCTTCTGTTAATCTGTCTTTTATCAGCTTAATTTCAGACCCCTGGGAATAGGGAAAATTTTCCTTTTCATCTACATTTCTAAGTCTTAGATGAGCCCTTTTTATGAACAGAGTTGTGATTCTTGATTACCTGGTAAGTAGATGAGGGCTGGAGATAGCCCCAACTTTGAGGCTTTTGACTTGCTGTAAAGAGGTAAGACGTGGTTGAAGGTGGATCACTCAGTGTGGTAGTTAACTGACTGTGTCAATTTGAGTAAGAAACACCCAACTATATTGGTTTAGCATAGTTGTGGGTGTGAAAGACCCACCCTGGGGAGGACTATTTCCAGAATGGTATAAAAGGGAAGCAAAGAAGTAAGGCTGCTTCTGTTTCTTGGGAGGAGCTCCAGTCTTCACCTTCACCTTGGACGTTATCTCTTGGTTTCCAGTGCAGATTCTTTAGCATCCAGCCTTTCATTGCAGAAACCTCCTAATGCAGACTCCCATGGGACACTACAGTGGGCTCCAGGCCTTCGATTAGACCCTTCAGATCTCTAGTGTGTAGACAGATCTTTTGTACTTTTCCACATCTAACTCTGTGGGTGCCCTTTGTAAGCCTATCTTGTAAATTCTTATGTACTTGTATATCTTGCATTAAATCTATTTCTCAAATAAGCACTGCCTGATTACACTGGAGCTATGACCTTTAAGTATATGTATCTCCCTCCCTGCCTCAAAGTATTTCTCTCTGCTTCCTGGTCACCATGACTCGAGAAAGTTTCCTCTGGTAGATCCTTTTTGTCTTGGAGCTAGATGACCAGAGACTAAAAATGTGAAGTAAAGTAAATCCCTCTTCCTTTAAGGTGTAAGTGTTGGGTATTTTTTCCAACAACAAAAAAAGTTGCTAAGACAATAGATATCCATTTCTTCTCATGCCATTCTTGACTTTCCCAGTAAAAGAAGTTTTCTTCATGAAACAGGACAGTTTCAGCATTGCTCTACAAGTAATTGTTTTTGGCATCTGCGATTGCTGTAGGTACAGCGGACCTTGGACTTTCAAACTCAGTTCATGTGCGAGGGCTGGTTGTAACTCATATTGGTCAATTGAAGGCTCAGGCTCCTATAAACAGCCTTCAAAGTTTCTCTTCTCTAGACAGGTAGATCTCAGTGTCCTTAGAGATACATTGGCCTAGGATTTCTTAACCCCACACAGGAAAGAATGTTGTAATGTTCTTTCCAGAGCTTTGTAAGGGTTAAATCTATATCTGAGACCATCTGGAAGCACAAGCAGCCATCATTCAGGTCATAATTCAAGATTTTTGTTGTAAGTTAAAACTAAAATGCTGGTCATAATCCAAGTTATTCATAACTCGAGGGTCCACTGTATTGTGTGGTTGATAGTGATAAATTACTGTTTTTCTGTTCTAAAGAATGAGGCTAAATTATAGCAAAATGATAGTATATTTTGTAGAGGTCTTCTAGAGGAAATCTGCAGTTGAAGCTAAAGTTTTAAACCAGTGCATTTTTTTCTTTTAACAAAATCCCTATGAAAGATAAGCTAGATAAATAATCTTAAGGGTTAGATTACATGAACAGTCCAACTTGCTTTAAGTAAGCATTTAAAAAATTCTTATTACTTACATTTTCTACTTGTTCAAACTTAACTTCTAAAATGGCCTTTTAAACGAATGACTTTTTGCCATAATAACTCTTGCAAAGAGATAACCATTTTGCACAATGACTTTTAGAAAAATTTTTTTGTGTAAGAACTTATTCACCAAAACATATGGTATAAAATGACTTTTAAACATTCTGGTTTCCAGCAAAGAAACATTTGACAATGTACTCGACATAATTTTTAGTCAGACGTTATTATATGCTCATATTTTTCTGATTGGGTTATTTCAAAGAATCTGTGTTCAGTTTCAGCAATTCTTTCTTCTGCTTGATCCAGTCTAGTTTTGAAACTCTCGATTGCATTTTTAAATTTTATTGATTTAATTCTCCAATTCCAAAGCTTATTTTATTCTGCTTTTTATGATTGTTGAATTTTTCCTGAGAACATGAATTGTTTTAAATTATCTCAATTCTTTTAGCACTGAGTTTTCCTGAGATTTGTTACTTTGAATTCCTTTCTCAGCCTTTCAGAGATTTCCTTTTCTTTCAAGTCTGTTGTTAGAGAATGATTGTGTTCCATTCGAGGTGTTACGTTCCCTTGCTTTTTCATAATTTCTTGTGTCGCTTTGTTGATATCGGTGTCTCTAGTGGCACAGAAAACTCTTCTAATTTTCTGGTGTAGCTTTTGTAGGGAGAGACTTTTTCATCTAGCATGCATCACAGGATGTCAGCTGGGAAGGGCACCTTTGGCTTTCATTCTGGGAAGGCTCAGCAGTATCGTCTGCATGTGAATTTTTTCAGGTGTAATCAACGTCAGTTGTATCTATAAGTGTGTCGGGGGGCAGAATGGAGACCTGGAGACAGGTAGTCCTGTGGTTTTGGTGTGTGTGTAGGTGGCGACTGCCAGGTGACCTTGTCCTCAGGCCTTGGGGCCATGCGCTAAATATGACAGAGCTATTGCTGACGGGAATATGTGGTGCTGCTGTGGTGGAGGCCTCTGTCGCTCATATTTGAACTGCCGGGCACACGTGGATAAATCCGAAGCATTTTGTTCTGTGTGCATGTTCTAAGTGAGAGATGAGGATGTAGTATCTTCTGTGAATGTTCATTCTATTCATTCCGTAATACCATACAGTCTGTTATGTTTTTCCATACTATTGTCCTTGATTTTGCTGAAAGGGTATTTTTGTGGGGTGTTATTTTGATTGACTGATTGATTGAGACAGGGTCTTGCTATATATTTCAGGCTGGCCTTGAGCTCAATATGTAGCCCAGGCTGGCCTCGGAATCAAGGTGATCCTCCTGTCTCTGCCTCCTGAGTGCTGGGATGACAGGCATGTGCTACATGTCTGGCTATGATTTTATTAAGTGTAGTCTAAGCGCAAAATTATCATGAGCACCCAATATTGAAAGTTTAGAGGAGAAAATGTTTCAGAAGTACAAGTGCAATAACATTGTACTTTATGTACAAATATTTGTTTACTTTCCATTGCTGTTCATTACTAATATAAATGGATATATTTTTCTAGCTGTGAAAATTGTTTGGGTGTCTTGTTTTGAGGTGAAACACATCCTAATTTTCCTATTAAATTTAATTGAAATTCTTTTATTTTTCATTTAAGAGCTTTTTATTTAAACAGCAGGGGTTTCAGGTACTAATGAAAGTCATTAAGCAAAGACTAAATGCACTTGTTAAACAACATTTTGATTGGGACACATAATGACTTCTAAGCTCTGTGTAGAAACTGTACAGTTTAAGAACTCATCATTGTAAATCAGAAGCCTTGATAGG